TACCCGCGTGTACGATCGTATTGTCTTAGGCTTACATCCCAAAATACGATGTATTTCAATGGAATTCCCAAAAAATACTTCTCAGTAAACTAAGACTACGGTTAAAAAGTCACTATTAACAATTAATTTAGTGTATTTTAAATTATAATTACATAATATACTAATATTCATACACTAAAAAAATAACAAAAATAGTAATACTAATAGTTAATAATCATTTAGTGTATGAATATAACAGTATACTTGATTAATTATATAATATTACTATTAATGATGAATTTTGTGTGGGTACTGGGTACCTTTTGATACACTAGGTAATTAAAAAAAAAATGAATAATAATAACATTTACATATGTATATTAGGTATACTGAAATATTCCAATTATAATAAATATTAGGTATTGTATCTAATGAAAATGAACAAGTTTAAAAAAAAATTTTCGATCTATTTGTGATAAAAATTAAGGAATTTCATTAATGGATCATTATAATTTATAACAATACACAAATTAGTTATATAATATAATAATTTTTCCAGTGACTTTTTTTATTATTACCATTACCCACTAATTAGTAATTAATATGAGTGTACCAATATCATTTTGGTGATGAAACAAACTCACTGAGATTTAAATTAATAAGCCAATAAATTATATTTATTTAGGTAAATAATATTTGTTATAAACTAGTTGAATTGCCTTATAGGTTTTTTTTCTAGAGCCGGAAATATGGAAAAATGAGAGAATTTTAAAGCAATATATTTCAAAAAAATAACTTAGGTGTACTAATAAAAATCTCAATTAGAAAATAGATAAAGAAATAAAACGTAATTGTATTGTACCTATAATAAATTAAGCCATTAATATACGTCTACAAAGTATGGACTAACTTTAAATTGTGTTAGCTTCAAAACTAAAGCCGACTGTTGAATTCTGATTTCACCATCATTATCAGCATAAAAAATAGAAAAGTTTAAAAAAAAAGGTGTCCAGGAAAGTAGAAAATTAATATGTTGATACCTACTAGTAAATATATACTGTTGTACCCAGGAGAATTTCGTATTCACTGTATTGCCCTAATGGATATTCGGGATATAATATGATTATTTAGATTTTTGTTCTAAAAATATCTTAATTATATTGTGTTTGTGTGAATTCAAATTTTTTAATTTTAAATTTAGTAAATTTTAACTTAAACTAATATTTCCCAATATTTTGTCCAAAGAGATTTCTTGTTTTTTTGTAAATTTGTATAGCTATGAAATACTATATAATAACTTCTGAATTAATCAAAATATATTTCACTGAGATTTTCTTAATTGGTTCTTACTTAAAGACGAAGTTTAGGTATTTTTAATTTTAATACAAAATGTATGTTTCCCGATCTTATTGAAATAGTCTCATTTATTAAATATGTAATTGGTGAGTTATTGTAATTATTAATAAATAAAAGTCATAATATAAAATAGATGTTTCTATATTATAATACAAATATTTAATATAGGTATTAACCTTCTTGACAATATTATCAAATATAACTACTAAGTAGTTATAGGTACTTATTAAATAATATATCAACAGGCAACTAACGTAAATTTTAGTGTTTGAAAATGTCATGAAATTTAAAATTGCGTGAAATATTTCTGTATTTTTATAAATATTGTTTTTTTTTTTTAAATAAGTCTAATATAGGTACTTATACATATAAATATAATTGTCATAAGTTACCTTCATAATATTATGGTATATTTATACCCAACCTTTTGTTCACTTATGTTTTTTCTTCCTAATACCTAACTGTTGAGCATCAATAATTGAAGTACTTATTGGAAGTTAAATAAAAAAAAATATACATACCTGACCTTTGGTATTAAACATTTAAAATGTTTATATTGGCAAAAAACATACTAACATTTTTAAATGATACATATTAAATACTATAGTAATAAACTGATATGTCAACTACAGCACTCATACTATTGGACTATATAATTAATAATTAATAAATATTAAAATAACCATCATCATTAATATTTTTATCATAAAGAATTTCAATGTTTCACGTTTTTGTGATATATTTCGTACTTCAAACACTAGTACCTACCATTACTTACCTAAGTATAATATTATAGTTAAGAAATCATTTGTGTTAAGTTAATAACATATACACCAACGGGAGGTAAATGGAAATGTGATTCATTCACATTGGCTTACCAATATTGTTGGTCTATGAGTAAAAATATAAAATATAATTTTTTTAAATAAACCCATAAACCCATTATCATTTATCAATAATTTTTGCAACATACGAGAATTATTTTTATTTACTAAATATTGATTATAATACATGTTTAGTATTTCGTCATTACGGCGGCGTCATTTGTGTACCTACATCAAAATATCAAATGTGTAGGTACCTATTTTATATATTTAAATTTATCTACGTCATATTAAATAGTCTGGTTCCATATTTTTAAAATATGTTATTATATATTTTATTTCTGACCAAAAATCAAAATTCTAATTGTTACCTACAAAAAAGTCTGTTGACTCAAATGCTAAAATGCCATGAGGATGTAGATAAATAGTAATAATACTATTAAATATTAATAAATTACTAAACTTTTGGATGTAGTTGGTAATTTATCATTTAGAACACGCCCGTCTTGAAATAATATATTTGTTTTAAATTTTAGTAAGTTAAAAATAAATTGAGATGCGAGTAAAGCGACTTATATACGTCTGCTGTTCAGTTTATAGTTGCTTATAATGATTAACATGGTAACTATTTTATCATTTAAGCTCAGATTAATTTTCCCAGAGCTAATATTTACTGGTGCGGACCCATTACTATAATGTAAAAACAAACATAGGTTTACGATACTCCTATTATATTACTAAATATTTAAACATTATAGCATTGGCGTAGGTAGTAGGTACCTCACATTATTTTATAATTATTACATTTGTGTCTTGTACTAGGTTTATTTATAATAAACAATTATTACTGACATTGTCATAAAGTTATTGATTTAAAGCAAAATACTTATATTAAGTTACCCAAAATCAAAAAATAATTATATGAATTATTTATACATTTATGCGTACCTATATTTTTGTAGATATGTATGCGACCTATAGACATAGTGCGGTAGCCGTATAGGAACCAATAAATATTATTTTAACAACATATTCAAATAATAAAAATCTTTAAAGTAATTATCACTATCATTTGGGTTCCTGTAAGTATTTAAAATAATTTATAAAATAAAAACATTCATTTGTATAAGTTTGATGATTTAATAAGGTAGGTAAATTGTTTAATTTGGTAAATACCAAGTCTCCTCTACGTATCTATGTAGTATAGGTATTCTGATTAATGCTCACTCGCACTATCAATTATATTTTCAAAAGAAAAAACAATTTTTGAAATTTATATATTTATATATTATGCACGACTAAAAACAATTGACCCATTAATAAAAAAATAATGACTGTTGGAGCTAATTTTTACTTGAAACATTTTTTATTTTTAATAGAAAATGTTATACCTATTAATGGCAAATAGAGAACGAGATATTTATACATATTATTATATAGTACCTACCTGATTGATATAGGTTATGATCGCTATAAACTGCTGAAACAATACCTGCATTATTAATATTTTTTATATAATACAATGTACCTATACCTACCTAACTATTAAAGTTTATAAAAAATGTCAAAATAAACAATGTCGAAGCCTGAAGGTATCATTATAATACGTACCTACTGTGCCTATTATAACATATATATATTTTATATTTTTTTAACATGATACTCGATTTCCAAAGCATATTTTGGGTAATTTGGTACGCACCTATTTGATGTGCACACTAATTATTATTATTAATACCTATATTATTTTATTATTGTTGGATGGCAATTGGCCGTAGGGAAATCGGAGGTAAACCGAAACCAGTAGCTATCTATGATACATCGGTGGTTTCGGTACCACCGACCGACTATTATAGCTGTTATAAATATAACGAAAAGAAAAAAAATTACCTGAAGGCCGGAACGGTCCGCGGGTTGTGTAATAATAATATATTCGTATAATAATAGTAGAGCCGAGTAGGAGTCGCCGGCTCGCCGCCGAAACGAAAGAGCAGAGTTCACGAGCGGCTGATAACGAACCGCCGATAGTGTAGCTGATAACGAATAATATAAAAAAATTAAAAACTCCACAAACACTGATACCGAGTACGAATTATTATGTAGAGTTTAGACGTTGTACAAGTCTATAACGACTCGAACGTTCTGTGAAATTTTATCGTCGAAACTGCCCACGACACGACGTCGTCTCATTACTGCACACATGCTTAATACTGTGCGCAACGTGCGTGCGGTTTTATGTTGTAATTTTTTCTCAGGAATAATCATGTGAAAAACGATTAGGCACATTTAGTCTCGCGATACGGACTCGCCGGCACCGTCGTCGTCCGGCCCGAACCGAAAACCGATACGACGAGTGTGCAGTGTTCCTAGAAAAATTTGATGATGGCGATCGTTACTGAATAATATATTATCGTGATGATAACGCGTAAAGAAAAAACTAAAAACCAATGGTATAATATTTATACCGTTGTGTGACATCCTTACGTCGAGCCTCGTAGTATTTTAATTTTAATATTATTTTCTAGTCACTAGTCACGTAGAAAGAAAATGCGAAACCGTTCCAAACGATGTTGGCAAGTTGGAATATTATAATAATAATAATGATAATAATAATAATAATAATAATAATAATTATGCTATTTAATTTAAAATGAACAATATTTAGGGCCCGTTTTACAATCATACTTTAAACCTAGGTTATGATTAACTCACTGATTTTACTGACCGAATTCGGTGGTTTAACGATTGTAATACGGGCCATACCCTGACCGCAAAAGTGATCACGCGAGTGTATTGATTTTTGTTTTTATCTTTCAGATTTGACGTTTACTGTGATGACAAATGGATATCATGTTCCTTATCGTCATAATTGTGTTGCTGGTGATCGCAGCAATACTGTTTGCGGTGTCCAAAAAGTATGTGGTTGAAAAATTGAAACAAGAAACCAACACAGACTTCCAGAAACTCCAGAAACGTTACTTGACCGTGTACTGCTTGGCATGTTTTGCTGATTGGCTACAAGGGCCCTATGTCTATAAGTTGTACAAACAGTACGGTTATAATGAAGGAGAGATCGCTGTACTTTTCATTACCGGCACCATATCCAATAGTTTATTTGGTACCATAACAGGAGCGCTGGCAGACATTTACGGCCGTAAAATACTATGCATTTCTTACGGTATATTATATTCAGGGTGTTGTATGACAAAAATGTTTGGGAACTTTCAATTATTGCTTCTTGGACGCATGTTAGGAGGTATAAGCACGTCTATTCTGTATTCGGCATTTGACTCATGGTATATCAATGAGCATATCAATTATTACAAGTTGCCAGAAGAGTGGTTGAATAATACATTTGCCAAAGCGACATTTTTTAACGCTACACTTGCCATACTTGCTGGATTGTTGTCTTACTTTTTGGTGAGCGTGTTAGAATATGGACCTGTTGCTCCTTTTATAACGGCCATTCCATTTCTCATAACTTCTAGCATATATGTTATCTCTGTTATAAATGAGCACTATATTCGCAACACAAAATCTGCTTCTGCGTCAGTGAAGAAAGCTGTTATTCTGTGGATGACAAATAAAAATATCTTCACCCTTAGTGTTGTTCAGTCTTTGTATGAAGGTGTTATGTACTTGTTTATATATATTTGGACCCCTACATTTGACGTGTTAAAAGACTCAAAACCACCTTTGGGGCTGGTATTTTCAAGTTTTATGTTAGCTCTGATGATTGGTTCAAAAATATATTCAATATTATTGGGAAATAGTTCTTTAGATTCAAAAAAACAACTGCAACTGGCTACATTTATAGCAAGCTTTTCATTTTTAATTTGTGCCTTGGCAATATCAAACATAGTTTTTGATTACAATGGCCAACAAAAATACTATAAAGTAATGACTTGTTACTTTTTTTTCTTATTGTTTGAAATTTCCATTGGTATGTACTTGCCATCTATGACATATTTAAAGAGTCAAGTAATACCAGAAAAGATTAGGGTTACCATATCAAATGTAATTAAAATACCTTCAAATCTCTTCATTTGTTTGGCACTTTTATGGATATATTTTAAAGAACCAAATGAGAAAAATATAATAAAAATTGAAGAGAATCAGGAACCTGATGTAGATTTTATTTTAACAATTTTTGTAGTATGTTTTATTGCCACATTTGTTACATTTATATTTTCTAAAATATTTTCTAAGTTTCACACTGAAACATACAAAGACATAATTAAACGTCATGAAATTGAAATATAAATATGTTTATGGCAATATGATTGATTATTCATATAATATAGCTATACCATATAATATGTATACCTAATTAAAAGGCGCGGTTCTAGAACTACATTTTCGTAGTAGATTTATAATTAAGTTTTAATTTCCTCCCCCTTCCCCAATAAGGGAGACCAGAAATTTTGGTATGGGCAGCTGCCCACCCTGCCCATACGCTAGAACCGCCACTGCTAATTACTAATTTTACATTGAATGAATTTAATTTAAGTTACCCACTTAATTTTTAAAAGTGATTAATATTTTTGATTTTTTTTTCTTTTATGTTAACACCAAATTGAAATGATTCATATCTGATTTATAATAATGTGTGTATATTTAGAACATTTCCTTATTCTAAGCTGGGACTGCAAATAACAAAAAAATAATGCAATGTTTGTGTTAGTATCTGTTAATAGTAAATTTAAAATTGATTACCAATGTATATGTTTTAAACTGAGTATTAATTATTGACTTGTAAGAAACTTAACTCAATAACCTAGAATAAAAAAACCAATTCTCTGTAAATTTATGTTTGTGAATTTTTCAGCTCAACAAATTTGTTATGATATTAATAATTTGTTACAAATATATTTATTACTATTAAAACATTTATAAAGATTATTTATTATTAAAGACACTTCAAATTATTATCAATTTCGTAAACAGCTTATATAATGTTAAAATAGTTATGATTTTTGTTCCAATGATTTACCAATGTAGATGTACAATTATTGCCTGGTACACACTATGTATCTTATTATAGTAACTCTCACAATGTCATGTATGATGGTTGCTTTTGCAATAATTTAATAGTTACTACCATTGCGTGGACCCGGCTTTAATTCATTAATTTAATTCTGTGCTATATCTCTGTGACTTAAAATTGTTAAAACAATACAACTGTAAATGGTTCTGTTTATTGACTATTTCTAATACTACAATGTGTAAGACATATAATGACATATATTTATACAAAATAAATATTTAAAAAAATATTTTCCAAAATTGTATTTGCTTATTATTTATTAGTTTTAACTGAAATATATATTAGATCTGACACACATGTTAAAAAAATATTAAATCCTAGTAACGTGATAAGATTTGAAGTTTGTAGTAAATTTGTCTATAGTCCATGTTCCATGGACTTAGATATTTTATTTAGAGAAAACAAATTTAATTTCTTCATTGGGTTTTATGTTATACTACAATATTATAAAAACATTCAAACAAAACATAAATATGTTGGTAATAACTAATAGGTATCATATTATAATTAAAATGTATAATGATAAAATGTATAATCCCATGACACAATGGAATAAAACATAACAATTATTAAAAATTGATTTATATATTACGATGCTGTTTAGTTTAAAACAAAATGTTAACAGATGAATACTCAAAATCACATAGAGTCCAATTCCTGGACATTTTATACATAGCATAACTAACCACCGATAAAGATGTTAAAAAATATAAATTCATTTTAAAAAGTATTTAATACAAATATATGTATAAAAAAATGTATAAAAATGTAAGTATTTAAAATACTTATTTGTCAATTGTTTGTTTTATGCAGTATTGATGTAAACATTTTTATATGATTAATATTCAATTAACTAATTCTTGAATATTTTTAGTTTTTCTATTTTTAAATATCGATAAGTGATACCAAATTTTTCTCTTCGTCAAAATGCTTGAAAACTGAATACAAGACTCCTCATACATTTTTCATATATTATTTTAAAAATATCAATCGTACATAAGCATTCACAATATTATTTTATAAGAATGTTTAAACTTAGAATTTTGACCAAAATTTCAAAAATGTACAAACTATTTTGTAGTTAGAAATTCATAAAAATTTAAATTCATTTTCTAATATTTAAATATTTAATAAGAAATTCCACAAAAGATTTACAATTTACAAATAAAAAAAAGGTGCTCTGCTGTACAGTAGGTTACAAGTGGGTCACTGTATAATGGATGTTATTAAATTTGAATTCAATGATATAATATCATTGTATAAGAAAAACGATTCTGAGCAGAGACGGTAGTCAGTCTAGGTATAAGACATATTATATAATTATCTATGGTATTAAAAAAAAAAGTACCTATCATAAATTCCAAATTAATCATATCACAATACCCATTAGGTATTTATAACTTGTTATACATCAACAACAAACCTTGATACTATAATAGATATTAATTAATAGTTTACTTTAGAAGTTCCAATTACCCACGAATAATATAATACAATCACAACAAAATAACTAAAATAGTTACTCTAGGTTTGTATACATTTTTACCTACAAAATAATTATTAAATTGAAAATGTAATAAATTCTGTCAAAATTCGATCTTTAAATGATTATAAAAAAAATTGAGCCTATGTATTTTTAATATTTTTCAATTGATATTACTGTAACAATATATCATGAGCCTTGTATTACATTTTTACACTTTTTGGCCCAACAGATAAAACTTTATAGATATTCATAGAAAAAAAAAACAAATTGAAATATGAAATTGTCCGTAAATGGCTCAAAAAGAGTCAAAATATTTTCAAATTTTATGGTGTATAAAATGCTAATATAAACATTCAGTGAAATTGCCATGCATCTACAGTTATTCGTTTTTGAATTACAACAAAATAACAAATTGCTACATGAGAAATCGAGTGAATAGGTATCCAATATTGTAAAATTGTGAACTTCAAACTCTCATAAATTTGATTTGCACGTAGACATTTTTTTTGATAAAAATAGATTAACTTATGAGTAATCTTGTATTACATTTTCAAATCTTAGATTTAAAAAAAAAAATTTATGAATTCTCAACAAAATAATTTGCTAATTTTCGTGAATTTTACGTATTTTGTCAAGATTTGAACTTTAAATGCTTATAAAAAAAATTGTGACTAAGGATTTTTAATATTTTTCAAGTGCTATTGTAACAATATACCTAGTAGGAGCCTTCTATTAAATTTTCAAGCTTTTTTACCCAACAAATAAAGTTTTATTGACATTCATAGAAAAAATCACTAATAAAATTGGAAACTGGAAATGTTCCTAAACAGTTCAAAACAAATCAAAATTTTTTGAAATGTATTATATAAATTATGATGTATAGAAAATGAAAATATAAACAACCAGTGAAATTTTCATGTATATACGTTCATTTGTTTTAGAGTTAAACCAAAAACCAAAATCGATTTTGGGTAAAATTTCCAGTTTTTCCTTAATTTGTTTGTTGTTTTTCCCCGTTTCCCGACACTTTTGAAAACTTTTAGTAAATTTGAACACCCAAATACACCAACTAGATTCATTTTCCCATCGAACAAGATACTGTTGAAGAAAATCGAAGCAGTTTTACTGCAATAAACCGTGATGACAGACATAAAAAAAATAAAAAAAACAAATGTAAAATCAATACATTCATCTTTTCACTCAGAATATAAAAAAGTTTAACGGAAATTCACATACATTTTTTATGTGCTTTTGAAGTTCAAATTGTAGATTCTGAGCGGAACAATGAATGTATTGGTTAAAGTGCTTTACAATGATGTATTTTAGATTCTGGGTGGAGCGATAAAAGTATTGATTTTACAATGAAAGGTGTTTTTTTTTTGTGTACACTATAAGTTTTGCCGAAATAATGCTTAGATTTTCAACTTAATTATCTTGTTTGATAGGAAAGTGAATCTAGTTGGTGTATTGGGGAGGTTAAAATTTAAATTTCCCGATAGTTTACAAATTAGTTATGTTTATATTAGCATTTGCAATACACCATAAAATGTTCAAGATATTTTGGCTCGTTTTGAGCTGTTACGTATACATTTCAATTTTCATTATTTTATTTGTTTTTCTTTAAATATCAATAAAATGTAATTTGTTGGGTCAAAAAGCTTGAAATTTCAATACAAGCCTCCTAATATATTGTTACAACTTACAATAGCAGTTGAAAAATACTCAAATTAGAAGCATTTAAAGTTCGAATTTTGACAAAATTATCAAAATTAAAAACGATTTTGTAGATAAAAAATTTATAAAATGTTCAACTTTTATAGCTATAATGTTTGAAATTTTAAAACAAGGTTCCATGTAAATAGGTAATTAAATTACTTTATTCGCAACAATATCATCAAATATACTTAGTAGGAAGTAGGTACCTACCTAATATCATGTACATATAAATTACCTCAAAATCGTTTTTCGGCGTGTAAATTAATTTATTCATCACCTCTTATGACAGTCAAAATTCTTAGATTTTCTTCAACAGTATATCTTATTCAATAGGAAATTTAATCTAGTTGGTACATTTGGGAGGTGAGTAGTTTTCAAAAGCCCCGTTAAAATCAAAACAAAATTAAGGAAAAACAGGAATATATTTACTCAAAATCGGTTTTTTGCAAAATCGATTCTGGTTTTTGGTGCTAACTATTAAACAAATGACATTTTGGCTGAATGTTATAGTAACATTTTCAAATAATTTGATCTATTTTGAAACTGTTAACAGCAATTTACAATTTCCGATTTTTTAGTTTTTTTTTTCTATAAATGTCAATCAAATGTTATTATTGAGTCAAAAAGCTTGAAAATGTAATATAAGGCTAATAATATATTGATACAAGACAGTTTAAAATATTAAATCCAGCCACTATGTTTTTTTATAAACACTTTATAAGTCAAATATTGACAAAATACGTAAAATTCACGAAAATTTGCAAATTATTTTGAGTTAGAATTTCCTAAAAATTTTCTTCTTAAATCTGAGCTTTTGAAACATTTGTCTACCTTTATCAAAAAAAAAAAATATCTACTGGAAGTAAATTAATTTTGACGAGCGTTTAAAGCTCAAATTTTTACAAATGGATAATTCACTCGATTTCTCATGCAGCGATTTTCTTATTTTGTTTTCTATGTAAAACCGAATAACTGTATACCCTATACTTGAAATATTTATTTCATCATTTCATT